ACTGAATAGGTAAAATTAAAAACTCAAAATTTTGATAAAAAAAAATTAAAAAAAAAAATTCAGTTACATAGTTATAAATGAATACTAATTATTGACTAGTTTGGCTAGTTGATTGTGCAGCTTTGTCCGAGCTTCTTTTTTGAAACTCTCGCTTCTTGTGCAGCTGCATTGCCTTCCTAAATTGCACCTCAGGCTCATCACAACTTGTAAAGCTTGTTATTGATTCTACAAAGAAAGAATAATAAATTGAAGATAACATTTTAATCCAAATTGTTAAAAATAACAAATTAATATTAACAATTAACACTTAATTAAAAAAATAATATTATGTTATTTACCCAACAAGGCTGAATAAAACTTAGAGAACTCCTTCAGACCTTTCTTGCCGTGCGTCCCGTCTATGTTATAAGTCATTATGATTTCGGTTGTCAACACATATCTTAAGTTTTTCATCACCGAATGGTTTAATACTGTCCTCATAGTGGTAATCTGGCAAATATATTAATAATTATTAAGTCTACCATTATATTTACAAAGTTATTACTTACAAACAAATGAGTGTTTTCGGGAAAAATTTTGGATTCTATTGTATTCAGGTCCTCAGTGGTTTTTATCGGAAAGTATTGCTTTACTGAAGTAAGCACGTTATCTTGCCGAACTAACTTCTCCAATATAATTTTTTGTTGAGCAAGAGCAGACATCACAGCATCATTTTGAATAGATACGGTTGCTATAGAGACATAAAATAATAGTTGAAATAAATTGCTGTAAAATACAACATGAAAAGATTCTTACAATTAAATTCTTTTTTTAAATTTTCCACGGTTTCTGAAAAAAAAAATATTATTTGGGAAACATTCTTTGTATACCCATAAATTAATTTACCTTGCAACGTTTTCAATCCCTCCACTAAGAATTCGCAACTCTCGCATGCTGGAACTGTTGTTTTATCTGCATAGAATAGTACATTTGTATATACATATTTGAATTTTATGTGTATATAAAAGTCATTAACATAAAACTTACACGGTGTTGCTACGTTTTCCGAATCTGTTAAAGCCATTCTCTTCATTTTCTTGGATATTGCGTATTTTAACCGTTTTGACTTTTTTGAAAACTTTTAAAAAAATGTGATCTATTTATATATATTAAAATGAAAGATTTACATTTAAATTAATAGCAGCCATGCAGCAGTGGCATAAGTAGCATACTGTCATCATAAGGAAGACCCATTAATTTGCATTCTATATTTTCTATAGGATAATAAACTTCTGCACTATCTAATGAGGAATCAGCTGTACATATCCCCAATGTTAAAGAGTCAACCGGGTCACAAAAAAAAATTCTTAAATTAGTAAATTTTTTCCCTATAACGAATTTTTTGTCTTCAGAAAACCTTTGAACTGCTATGGGTTCATAAGGATTTATGAGACAATAGTTGTCAGGTTGTTTTAAACAAAATATGTAATCCCTATAATAAAAACATAAACCTTTGCCTTTTAATGATTTAAAACTATTGGGTTTGTCTTTTTTGATCAAACTTTCTTCTGCTATTTTATTTACAAGTTGTTGGAGTATCTGAGTCGGTTTTTTGACATATTTTTTAAGAATCTGTAAATAATTTTCGAAATCGTACGCCGAAAAGCTTGAAAATAAACCTATTGATTTTATGCTTTCTGTTATGTGAAGTAAATTATGTACATTGTATGTCAAACTGGAATTTCCGAAAACTGTAGAAAAGTTTTGTACAAACAATAATATCATATTTTCAGCAATACCAAAATTGTTCATATATGATTTTGGACAAAATAGCATCCTACATGAGCAATGCAATAACAAAAATTCATAATAAAGGTCATCATGAACATTGTCTTTCAAAACAAGAACTCCTGTATAAAGAAGAAATTGACGAAACTCTGTTGCTTTCCAGTTTAGAATATCGTTGAATGTTCTGGGCTTTCTTACAAATTCTTTCGGGATATATGGTTTCAATGATTCCAAAAGTTCTGACATTTTTGATTTCTTAATTTTTTCCACTTTCAAATTTACTTTATTTTGTAATATTCTTAATAAATATTTACGCATTACCCCCAAATCTATCAAATGCATGCTATCTAATGCTACTTGGCTTATCATTTTTAAATCAATGTTTTCAAATGGTGTCTTAGCATTTCGAAATTTAGGTAAGTGATGGCTGATATATTTTCTGTTTAAGAAATCGTCGTCACTCACAAGATCACCTGACTCAGAACTGTATACTAGAACGTTGTTTACTTTCTTTCCGATTTGCGTACATTTGCTGCAGCCGTGCGAAGATACATGACTAGGTGCGCCGCAAATAAAAGCTCTAGCGGGCGCATCGCAAACTAATGCTCTAATATGAACTCTTATTATTTTTCCGCCTAAGTCAAGACCATTGTTTATTATACCTTTCATTTCTTCAACAAAGGGACCCAAAAAATCAAAAACATTATCTGGTTTCTTTTTGCCTAAATAAATAGCCACTGGAAAAACACAAACCTTTTTAAATTCTACTAATCTAACTAAAATTGGCCACAATTGAGTACGCGAACTTCTATACAATGGCAAGCCATCAATGTTTATGTCAATAGAAATTTCGTCAACTTCTCTTAAAATATAATATATTTTTGCTAACTGTTTTTGTAATCCAATATGGCAATAAAACCCAGGTGCAACAGTTTTAACAATTGCCTTTTCTCTTTTTTTGGCCTAAAAGGTCTCTGCGCTTCGCGGAACATCCAAATTCTCATCCCGCAAAATAGAAAGAAGCTTCTCGAATGATTTACGTGACGGTTGGTATTCAACATACCAATCTAAAATTTTATCCTTAAAAGAACGTGGCTGGTCACAATATGCAGATAAATATATATCTGAATCTATACCTGATTGCTCAGGATTCTGATATTCTGAACCAACCCGTGCGTCTGAATATGCGGAATTTTCTGCTGAAGAAATTGAGCAAGTTCCTGCTTCACTATTTGAATTAGGAACTGCACCCATTAAATTCTGACTATACAATTCCCTTTGTTTTTTCACAAGTCTTCTTAGATGTCTTTTGCTACTCATATTTACCAATACTTTAAGTCACAAATGTTCAATAATACTCAGAATTCACAATATTAAATAAATCACAAATTTTTTCACAACCTTTTCGCTCCAATTATTACGCATTAATTATTAGATATGTGAAAGCTAAGATGCGACGCAATCGAACACATTGAATAAAGCATTTCATCGAACAAATAATCGGAATCATTGTCATCAAAAATGCCTAATCTACGTTTTACTTGAGCGAGCGATATTCAGTTGCTTGAATGAACAAAGAGATGTCACTCTTGCATACTTTAATTTTTTTTTTTTAAGGCTTTTATCTATAATCACTGTAGCTCTTTCCTAGTTCATCATAGCAACAACCTCAGCTACATAAATAAAGCCAGTTTTGACTTAGTTTTTATTTTGATATATTTATAATATTTGGTAAAACAATTTCTCAAATGCTTTCAGAATTAGAATTATTACCGCTTACCAAACAAGGTAGAAAATAAGAAGGGACAACACGGTATAATTCTACGTTCGTTGCGCTTACTCAATACGTAATTCATTACGATTGCATTGATGCCAATATATACCCCCCATTTTGTTTTATCGAAACGTCTGCATATTTGTAGCGTAAAAAATCGATAATTGGTAATCGCCCCATCAATGAAAAAAATTGAAAGTGGGAATTTGCTATTTGTTTTGTTTTGGTTTGGCTTTCTTTCTGCAGCTAAAAGTTGCGGTCCCGTACGAGTCCGGACTAGTCAGAAATAGTCAGAATCAGTCAGATTTTACTGGAAATCGATCCCGTACTCGGTTCTCTGACTATTGAGAGGACAAAAAAGAGAGTAAATACGGTTCTCTCTCTGTCAGAAGTTACCAGTTTTAGTCCGAGAATTTTTTGCTGGTAAATTCTGGTAAATGTGTCAAACGATCAGCTGTAGTGTGTTTGGCAACCAAATTGTAAACAAAAGAAAAGTGTACTCTGCTAATTCATGTTGAAAAGTATTTAATTACTTGTTTAAGTGGATTCTAATGAATTTGACAGTATTTTTGGTTATTTACATGTGTGAGCTGAGTGTGTTTACATACAAAATAAGCAAAAATTTACAACCAAAATTTCGAGGTTATGTTGAAGTTGACAGAAGTTACCATTTTTTACTAGAAAGCGATCCCGTACTTTTCAATGTTACTCTCTCGCTCTGAGCGAATTTTTATTTTTTGAGGAATACGGGATTGCACCTAAAAGCTTTGTAAGTATAAAAACTGCTTATCAATCAAATGTTTATTAATGAATTAACATTTTCAGATTAAAGCACTGCTGCGGAAACATTTGAAGGATGAGTTTCTAAATTTCATAAAGGTACGGGTGACCTGAATGGACGGCTTTGTTTTTATAACATTACATATTTGTTATTGAGCTGCAATAGTTGCAACAGGGCACGTTGTGTTCTAAAAACATCCTTTTAAGTAAGTAAATAATATTTTTGCGTTGTAAATCAGTTAATTTTCAGTATCCTAATCCAGAATACCCCACACCCCAGTGTTATACAGCGTGTGAATCATCTGGAATTGAGAAAACGTCGGGACAGCTCAGCTCGGAAATTTGCAAGAAATAACATAATTCAAACCCAAATTATTAATAAGTTAGTGCACAGGAATAGTATTTTTTTGTTTTCTTTTAAATACATCGTAGACTCTTGTCTACAAGTGTATGTAAAAGTTTTTGATTCGGGTCACGCGTTTGGGCACAGCGATCCAAAATCGTTCTACAAATAATTTACCGTACCCAAATCATTTGCAAAATACTATCAAGCAACAGGAACAACAAATAGGATCACAGCATAAGTAAGATTTCTTATTTCAAATTATTGGATACATACATATGTATATGTAATTTGAATCAGAGTACGAAAATAAACTGTACAAAACAATTCCCATTTGCTCATCGATCATCATATCATTTGTGGTTTTTTACAGTTTTGTACATAGTCAGAAACAAATTGTAAGATTCACTGTCATTTTCGCCAACTAGAAACGTTTGCTTTTCGTTTGTGACAATTGTGCCATAGGGTGATATCACAAACGTTTCAATTACGTGAATAATATTTTTTCTGTAAATTTTCATATCCAACTCAATTAAAAAACATTTTTATTTTTTTATTCATTGCAGCTATTCGTTTTGTGTTTAGTTATTGCATATGTGTACATACATACATATAATTTTCTCTGCTCGATTCATTTCGTTTGTTGTTTCGTCTGTAACTACTAAACTACTGTAGTGTACTATAACCAAAGTGAACTCAGCCGTTTTGTTTTCGTATTGTACGGAACTGTTGAAGTAATAAACGAAATGAAATAGTAACGTACAATATAGTTTATTTTCGTACCCTGATTTGAATTAAATTTAAAAATACATTGTGCAGGCTCTTAGCAACAACACCAAGTGAAGCTCGTCGACTTACATAACAATAAAAATGCAAGATTCCAGTATAAGTTCAGCGCTTGCAAAATAGCGATTTCCTGTTTCCTGGTTAAAGAATTGTACGTGAAGAATGGTCAGTTAGTCGGCACAGTACAACAAGCAGTATTAAGAACGGCTCAATGTCTTACATAAATAACTACAGGGCTAATTTCATGTTCCCCAAAGATTCGAGATTACTTATTTGCATTGCATGTTTTCGTTGATGTATGAATAGTAAATATTGATTGTACAAAAACATTTACGTCTACAAGAAGATATGAAAATTGCTTTACACGGTATGTATTTGCAAGTTCTTTGAAAACGAAATAAACCTAACACAAAAGAATCTATCTCTATGCCAGATGGAAATTAAATTTCACGTTTCTAGTTCGTCTGTACGTGCATCTGCTTTGTGCATGTATGCCTTTCCATATGTAAAAAGTAGCATTTACAGATGCAAACGCATGTCGTGTAAAATCACTTTAACAAACAGATGAATAGCAATGATTTTTTATAATTTTTTTCTGACGGTGTTATGCACTTTTTTTCGTATAAAATATTACTTTGTATGGAAGAAAACGCGTGATATTGGCACCAAAAAAATTATCAAAAATTAACGCGATTTTTTAGCCACTTCAAACTTGCACTTTATCCAGAATATAATAAACAATAAAACTGCATACCAAAAATTATTGTAGAAATTAAAATTAAAATGCTTGGAATTGGGATGAAAAGGAATATTTAATATTATTTAGAATTTTTTGTACAAAGTATGAAGTTTGGATTTATATGGTATTCGTTAGATAAAGAGCTGTACTTTTATATAAAATTAAGAACGTTAAAGTATTTAAATTTTTTTAATTACCCTTCAAGTATTCAAGTATTCAACCCCTTTATCTGCAATTTTCATAAAAAATATTTTGACTTTTTAGAACCCATCTTGTTGTTGTAACAGCATACAAATTCCCCAAAGAGATTTTGGGGAGTGTTGCTGGAGTGACAGTCCTTGGCCAGATATAAATCTGGGTCGTTCCGGTTACGTAGACCCGACCTGTCGTCACAAATGTTAGTTGTGACTTTGTAATTTAATAGTAAATTCTTCTGTCAAACGTTATACAAGGTCAGCATTAATATAACCGATGAGAGTTAAGTCTGAGGTGGATTTTTATATCAGAATCTCATTTTTGTGAAAAGTGCAGATAGAGGGTATTGGATATAAGCCCTCGATACGTATTGTATTAAAAAAAAAAAACAAATTAACTTAAGAAACGGAACCCATTTCCAATCACTTTATTTTATGTACATACATATGTATATTCATTTAAATAATACATACATATATACATAACTGAATATGTACTCGTTTTAATGGTTACAATAAAAGTAAATAAAAGTTATTTTTTGTGTACTCAATTTTATTAAAATGTTCAAGTAAAATAAAATAAGACGTTAATAAATCGTTTTGTAATTGGTAAAAGTCCGGTCTTTTTCAGACTAGTTCGATTTAAGTCAGGAAATTCTAGTTGTAAACTAGTATTTTTTTTTGACTAGTTTGGTGCTTCACTGCAGGGAAAGATTTTCCCTACGTTTGAAAGGCAGTTAAAAAATGCGTATAATTTTCGTCACGAAATTGATATCATAAATTTTGTGTTTCTAAGTTAGTTAGTAGAGCTCTCGATTTTGTTCGCACATTTTCAAACAGCCCGGGTATATGAGCAGCGAGTACTCGCACACTTGTTCAATGCTCATTACTCGAAAATTTCCGAGCATGAGCTCGAGCAATTCGTGTTTTTTCGAGTAATTTGAGCAATGTTTTTTTTTATTATATTGACATTTTTGGTAGCAACTTTTTAAATTTTTCAAATTATTGATATATAATGCAAAGATTGTTACGTTGGTATTTAATAATATAGTTTATTTAACATGTATTAGAAAGCAGCTGCTGACAAATACAATTTACAAATTTTCTTTTGTTTATGAAATTGTTCAAAACTCGAAAATTTTGAACAAACATTTGAGCAATGAACGAGTTTCGAGCGAGTATCGAGCTACTCGCATTGCTCGATATCCGGGTATCTAGAGCTCTAGTTTCTAGTTCAGCTTTCGTCACTCGAAAATTTTACCTCAAAGAGGTGTTTTATTTGATACTACAATACAATTACATTTTCGTTTTCAAATCTCAAACACAATCGCAAAATACTTCGAAAATTTCCCTGCTCTAGCCACACCAACTTTCCGCGAATATTTGCCGCAGCATTTACATACACTTATGAACGAGAACGACAGCAGTGAACGTTCGCGAAGGCATCGATGCTACTTATAGCTGCATACATGAAGGCACGCAGCCCTGTTCAAATGTACTAGTTGTAAACTACCTCACAATGTATGAACCCTGTAGTCAAATGAACTAGTTGTAAACTACCCCACAACTAGTATGAATGGCATGCCCAACTAGTCAGCCAACTATCTTTTTTCCATGCAATCAACTGGTATTTTTAACATGGGGATGTCCTACGAAATGGCAATTGTCAGATTTCGGTCACAAATTTACCAGTCTCATACTAGTTCAGAATAGACAGAAAAATACTAGTCTAATTATGGACCAAAACCACTACTTTGGGAGTCAAAAAATAAAATGAATTCATGAACATACAATAAAAAACATTTAAGTACACTTTTTTATTTTACATATTTTTATTTAGCAGCCTTAGATTTGCCTATAATTATTGTTAATTTTTTTGAGTATTAATTAAAAGAAAAAATAAATACATAGATATTTCAATTTCTAATATCCAATACTCCTCATTTTAAGAATATCAACGAATTTACTAAACTCAGTAAATTCATTAGACGACTTCTCGGTCACAAATAAAGATTTTTTAAAGCTTTAAAATGAGTTTTGAAGGGGAGGAGTAGTGCAGCTCAAATGTGTCCAAAAACCGTTATTTTTATACTTTTAGGTTAGAATATCCCGAAAACCTGACGTGATCTGGGGTCAGATTCGAATTCAGCACGTCAAAGACCTTCGGAAAAGTATAGTCCGATTCTTGGTTAAAAAACCTTGTTGGCAGTGTTGCCGCCGCTCAAAGAACTTTCTAACCAAGATTTGACGAAAAAGTTACCAAATGTAAGGAAAAATAACCATTTTTTTTATTAGATTAACAACTCAGGTAATCACAAACTCTTTTATATAGTACGTATAGACACATTTTTCAAACCAAAGAAAATCAATTTTTATTTGCATTTTTGAAAAGTAAATCCTTTTAAGGCTGAAAATAAATGAAATACATTCATATATAAGTATATATATAAATACATATTTTAGAAAATCAGGCTTCCCGTATTAGGTACATATGTATGTTAATATCTTCGTAAACATTACCAGACTCTAAATGACGTTTTTAAATAAGTACATAGGTACACAGTTTCCAACTTCTTTGTAAGAATCAATGAAATACCTAATCAGCGTGAACAACCACATTGTAAATATTTTTTAATTAAGATTAAACAATTAAAAATCGGACTGCATTGAACTATATCGTAGCTCAGCGCGAAGTACCTCGTATACGCCAAACGCAGTATCGCGTATACGATGGTAACTAAATTTTACAAAAGCGCGAAAAACCGATTTTTTCAAAACTGTGGAATGGTATTTCCCTTGAACCTACTTGCTGTAAGATTATTATTATTAATCTTAACTTAAATTAATAAAGTAAGCAGTAATGGAAAAATAATTACCAAATCCCTTTTTTATTGTACATACATGACGTGGTATAGGATTCCGCATATACGAGGTATTTATATATGTACTATCTGAGTATGTATTCATTTGAAGTAGTCTTTAGCCGACCATGTATATTCTATATTCTATATATTATAAAACAAATACATACATATGTAAGTAATATTAATACAATGATTCTAAATATTCTCACTTGGTTTCACTGCTGGGGCTGCCACTGCTGCTGCTACTCTCCTCAACCTCGACAGGTGTTGCTGGCCTATGTCTTATAACGAACCTAATTGAAAAGTTTTTTGGAAATACATATTATGCAAAATAAAACCAAAATTGTGTATTTTTTCTCACTTATCCATAGAATTGAGCCCGTATAAATTAACTTGAAACACCAATTTTGCGCGGAATT